TAAGGGAGAGAGACATTAGAGGTAGAAATATGACCTACATGACTAACATGCATGTAAGAACCATCAGTAGTATGAATGGTAGGTAAATTAGAAGGAGATGTAGTGGAAGAAAACAGTATAGGGTCAGAGGTCATATGATTACAACAAGCTGAATCAAAATACCATAAAGATGTACCTGGGGTGACTGAGATAGCAGTAGAAGGTGTACCAGAAGTGGAAAGAACCTTTTGCACAATAGGTTTAATATCATGAACATTGTGAGTGGAAGAGGAGATAGGTGCAACAGCAGCAGAAGCAAACTGAATCGAAGAGTCATGTCGACTAATAGTAGATCCAGAAGAGCCACCGTAGAGAGGAGAACAATCTAAATGATCCATGAAGTAATCAAAGTATGAGTCAAAAAAAAAAAGCCCAGTATTGGCCGAGTAGAACTGGGTGAGTCACAAAGAGGGCCTAGTAGTGTCGGAGTAGAACTGGGTGAAACAGAGTGTCCCAATGAATCTAAAATGTTGAAAATAGCTAGAGAGCAGCTAATTGGCCCAAAAATAGCAAAAAATGGACTTAATAGACCAAAAGATGACAGCAACAGGCAAGAAATGAGGTCAGCGTGCGCGGCGCACGGTAGCAATAGAGGCGTGTGCGGAGCACAGTAGCAGAAACGGTGCACGCGGGTGTACGGTAGCAGAACGGCATATGCGAGTGCACAGCAACAAGACGGCGCACGCGGGTGCACGGTAGCAGGACGGTGCACGCGCAGCGGACAACAGCAGGAACGGGGCAGGCATAGAACTGACGTCAGTTGCTGACGTGAGTAGGCAACTGAAGGGCGCGTGTAAGAGTGGTGGCAGAAGTGGAGACGCGTCGAGCACAGAAACGGCGCGTAAGGGCGCGTGGAGGAGTTTCTGGTGACGTGGTCGGTACCGTTGGAATCATGAGGAGATTCTGACCAGTTTGGTACTGGAACAGAGATAATAAAGTATATAGGTGGTGGAATGAGTGTTGTAGTGCCACTGTGTACGTGATTAAGCACAAAGAGAAAATAAAAGGGTTATAAGTGTAGAACCTAGAGTTCTGATACCATGTTAGAATGGTTGGAAAAAAAAGAAAAACTGTATATCAGTGTATATTGAATTGAATTGAATTGAATTGAATACAATATGAGAGTCTGTATTTATAGACTGAACACAAACTTAGATAAATATAGAAGGAGATAGAGATAGAGAGAGATAGAGATACAAGGAGATGAATCTAAATCTAATATATCTAAAACTAATATATACATTAACACATCCAAATGTCCTAATAGGATAAAAATATGTTGAAGACTCAAAAATCATCTTGTTTTATTATATAGATGTTGAAGATTCATATGAGGTCTAAATTTATAAAGTTTGTCAAGTATTCAATATATTTAAAAATAATAATTGATGGTTCAAATTCATTTAATTTGTGGACTATAAAATTCATTAATTTAATCTTTATAACACATAGTAAAATATAACTCCTAATTTTGGGATCGCAGACTTTTTCAAATAATATGAATAAAAATAAGTGAACAAAAAGAAGAAAATAAAAATAATAAACAAGTAGAGAGAAATAAATAAATAAATAAATATAAAAGGAAGGAAGGTGGAATCATGGGATCATGGAAGGATGGATGAGAGAAGAAAAAAAGTAAGAGAGAGAAGTGAGAAAATAGAAAATGTATATCTATAACATTTTTTGAAAAATATATCTCAGCCATTGGTTTATAATTTGAATAGACTTGATCCATCCAAATGTCCTAGTAAGATAAAAATATTTTGAAGATTTCAAAACCTGTCCTGCTTTATTATATATATTTTTTGCTTTCATTTTTCTGTCTCCACTCTATCCAAATATTCCCGTGTGGCCATGTGTCAATCTTGTTAAAAAAATATACTCTCTATTAAACTTGATTAACCCCATCTTTTTCTCCAATTTTATTTTAATCTCTTCACCAGATTAATATTCATTGTTTGTTCTTTGTCAAAATTATACCTCTTCATTGTTCGCAAAAAAAGAAAAATTTTACCTCTTCCGGAACATCTTTTGAGTAACTCACAGCCCTTTTCTTATAAATTGGGGAAAGTTACCAATAAAAGACCATTTGTTTTTAAGCAGCTAAACAAAAAATCTTGACCAAATCACTTTTTATAGATTCATCAGTTTGATTTAGTTTCACGATTTAATTTAATTTTTAAATTTCTAAAATTATTGAAATGGATTGGGTTCTTGACATTGACAATACCATACCATTCGACACCCTTACAATTCCCACATTAAAATTAGCAAAACATAAACTATACACTGTGATTGACATAGACGTGCCCAAAATATATTTTTCCTGCGGCCCAAAGGGCAGCCTCCCAATATTTCGGGGTGGACGTATCTTTTTTCAATTAAAAATATAATAAAAAATGATAAAATTTATCGGATCATACTACTTCACCATGTGGCAACCTTGAGACAAATTTATTGTTGGCTGGTGTCATGTCGGTGCGGCAGACCGGACAATTTAATTGAGAGTAGAGCGACATGTTGATATATGGCACGTGAAACAAGTGCAAGCATTGGGGTAGGACCCGAACCGGTTCACCCAGTGGCGACTCCAGAAATTTTTGTCAGTGGTCAATCAAAAATTTAAATATCATATATCTTATAAAAAATTCATATTAATCATTATATCACTTATGGAGAAAAAAATCAACAAATTAATTTAAATTCTAAAATTATAAACAAAAATATTTCAATATATTGATACTATTGTTTAAGCAAAAAGACATGCTAATATCTAATATGGGTTCAAAATTGGTGGGTTCAAAAGAGTAGGATTTAAAACTATGGGTTTAAAATTATATTTTAGTGGATTCAATTACTAATTTTTTTCCTAAAATCTAATATTTATATAATAAATAAATAAATAAATTCAACCAGGGGGTTCGGGTGACACCCCTGACTAAGCCTTGGAGCCGCCCCTGGGTTCACCATCGACAAAATCAGACAAGCACACAACACAATTTTTATCTAGGGTTTTTGAAGCCAAGCCAATCTCTTTGATGTATTTGTATGAAGGAATAATGAGCTTTGCTTTTGAAACCATAGCGGATGACGACGGTAGCAACTGGGGAATGGCCCCTTCTTGGTGGCACTGCTGCGCCATCGCTGCGCAACAGAGAATTAGGGGGAGGCAACGGTGATGGTGGCCAGAGCCGGCCTTGGACATAAGCTCACCAGGCCATAGCTTATGACCCCTCAAAATAGATCCAAAAAAGGGGTCCATCCTATTATAATTTAGTGTAATATATTAGGTATGTTTTAAATCCAAAACAAAATTGAAGAAGGTCCAAACTAACTTAAAATAAATTAATCCATTTAAAAATTGAAAAGCCCATTCAAAAAAATTAGCATTGTTATCCATTGACCAAAAAAGGATCCGCCTCCTATTATAGTTTAGTGTAATATATTAGGTATGTTTCAAGTCCAAAAGAAATTAAGGAAGGCCCAAACTAATTTAAAATAAATTGACTCATTAAAAAAATTAAAAAGCCCATTTAAAATAATTAGCATTGCTATCCATTGAAAATGATTTTTTTTAAAAAATTAAATTATGTAAGTATGATTGATTTATTTGCTTCTAAAAATATAAGAAGAGTAAGAATCAAGCGATATTTATTAGTTGTTGTAATGTAATGCTAAGTATTTTTTATGATTTTGACACAATTTTTTTTGTCATTTATCTTCAAAAAAAAAAAAAACTCATTCAATGAAAAAAAATGTGAAAGGTTTTAAAAATTTATCAGTTGATTATCGACTTTAAATCTCAAAAATCTCAGGGCCGAGCCTGATGGTGGTGACGAGTATGGTTAACAACAATAATGAGGCAAGAAATATGTAGAAGTTTACCATTATGGTGGGTTGTTGGCGTTCAAAAAAAAAAAAAAATGATGGGTTGTTGAGGAAGTGGAGGAAGGAGCTTGGCTAATTAAATAATGTGATTGTTAACTCCTTCATTGCAATCGATGGCTTATATAACTTAATTAAAATGTCCAATTCATAATCGAGTCGCAACAAAGTGTAACATGCAAAACTTGCCTTAGCAACATCGAACTTAGGTTTTTTATTTATGGATTTGATTCTTCTCAAATTTAACTCTAAGCTGTTATGTTAAGAATTATGGAGCTCGTAACATGTCTCGTTTCAACCATTTTAATAGTTTATTTTATAAGATTTTCCATTTATATTATCTATAAATAAAACTAAGCAAAACAAAATCAACACCTTTTTCTTATTTTATTGTGTTTTTTTTTTCCAAAAAAATAAATGATAATTTTTTTAATAGATGATATACATAGAGGATCCTACAAAACAAACTATTCAAATTGTCAGAATATGATCCATGATGACCCCACAAAATCCAATATACAGATTAAGTTCAGATTTTAACTTAAAAGAGAGTCTTCTTACAAAACAACATTTTCTTAATTCAATGACACTTGAAAGTGCCACAAAACTATTCTTCTAGTGACATTTTTTCAGTTTAGTGGTGTTTTGAACAAGTGTTATTTATATTCATGCTACAGTAGATACTAATGACATTTGTAAGTGCCACTACACCATGAAGGCTAAAACCTTTCAGTGACATTTTAATGTCATGTTAGACACTTTTCATGACACTACCAAATGCCATTAAAGAAGACTTACAATGTAAAAAATGTCACTATATACTTTTTTAATGGCCGCTTCTTATGCCATAATTAATATTTTTTACAACTCTTACAAATGCCACTATATCCAACTTTTAGTGACGGATCAAAGTGTCAATGTTTCACCATTCATTTTTACTATAAATGGAGACAAATTGAAAAACAAAACAAAACAAAAATAAATAAATAATTGTTTTACAACATTCGGATATTTTGGTTTGTAAGACAAACAAATAAAACTTCATTTATTAAATGTAATCACAATTGATACAAATATACCACTATTATTCTTTACTAATAAAATAAAATCAAAATGTCGTTCCTATTTTGACAAAGTCAATATCATTATCATAATATCAGAAACAAAAATTAAACAAATAAATATTTACATATCCAAAAAAAAAAGGTAATCTTCATATCCATGAAAAGCGTGTATCGCTATAATATTTCAATAATATTTGTGGAAGTCAATGCCCAAATCGAGTTCTTATAAGTTCCTCGTAATTGCTAGAATCGGCGTCATAAAATTGTCTATACAAATTAGAATGGAGTCTCATAAATATGCTCTTCAAATGCTTTGATGATGGCACACTGCAATACAAGCAAAAATAAGCAAGTAAGAAGAAAAATACTCTCTACAAAGCAAAATTAGAAACGAATAGAAAGAGCTCAACATATCACAAGTAAATCCCTTCTATTGAATTCATAGTAATCATTAGTGGATAGTATAGAAGATACTTTATAGTAACTCACCAACATTAGTATATAAGATACTTTCCAATTATGTTGCAAATTGATATATGGTAAAACAATGAAATGTAAGAAGCTAACAGCACACCACAAAATGAATAGTACACAAGGAAAAAAGAAAAAATGAATTATAATACACTTTGCTTTTGGTTTTTATTTTCTTCCCATGCTTTAATCAAAGCTAATTTCTTTTATTTTTTGTCACAATATGAAGCAAAAAATGAAATACCTAAATCTAATCATCAGCTTAGGGATTACCTTAATGCTTTAATCCCCTATGTTTTACCTCTCTTAGTTGCATTTGTTGATTTTTTTTTTTTTAGCACATGATCTGAAACCCTGTCACAAATTTAAAAAATATATACTTATAAATAGTGATATAATTAGCCAATTCACATTTTAGAGAGGATGTTATACATTTATATATTAAAAAAAAAGGATGTCAAAGGCTTTGGAGTGAATCAAAGTTAGTTAATATAGCATGATAGATTATCCCTTAACCTTAAGAAAAAAATTACCTAAATCAAGGATCAATAGAACATGAAGGCTTTACAAATATATATATATATATATATAGAGAGAGAGAGATATAATTAGCCAATTCACATTTTAGAGAGGATGTTATACATTTATATATTAAAAAAAAAAGATGTCAAAGGCTTTGGAGTGAATCAAAGTTAGTTAATATAGCATGATAGATTATCCCTTAACCTTAAGAAAAAAATTACCTAAATCAAGGATTAATAGAACATGAAGGCTTTACAAATATATATATATATAGAGAGAGAGAGAGAGAGAGAGTTCATACTTTTAAGAAATTGTTTTGAATCTATATTTTACATGCTTTGATGATGACACAATGCCTCTGTTTTCCATATATATTACGAAAGGGAAAGAAGGAAAAAGAAAGAATGAAATAAACAAAACAAAAGCAACATAAATAAATAAACCAAACACCAAAGATTCAAATTCATAAAAACCAAATACTTATCCCAATTCTTTCACAAAACACAACAGAACAAGTGCTTCACCTTCTTTGTTAAAACAAAAACAAAAACAAAAACAAAAACAAAAACAAAAACAAAAACAAAAAAATTCACATTCTTTACAATGAAAAATAACAATGAAAATAAGATTTATAAGTCTTTCATGTTTCATGCTACACTTAAACATTCAGCTCACCCCAGGTATAATTTGGTTATTGTGATAGAGCAGAGAAATCATTTAAGACAATACCTACTAATGAAAAAACACACTAATTACTTCTGAAGCACCTGCACCAAGGTCAACCCTGCTGGTAATAAAAATAAATAAATAAATAAATAAAAAATTATGAGTAAAATAATAAAGCAATAGGTGGAAAGGAAATGCATTACTTGAACAAGGGATCTATTTTTGTTGAATTTTGACAAGTTACTTTCATCACAACCATCATGCATTACCCTTTGCTTAAACATGTCCTTATCTGGGAAACCATAATTGATTGTCTTTAATTTCTTATGATAATGTACATGATAAATTTCAATATCATCAACCTCTGTTTTGACACAAATATTTTTCCCAAAACTAGTTTACGTTGCGATTTTTGTTAGTAGTTACTATTATGACACTTCAGGCAATAGAGTGTAGAGAACAAGAGAAGAGAGACTCACTCACCTGAGAAACACTTATTGGGTATCTTGTAGGGTATTGAGATGTGTTACATTACTCAAAAGTGATTAGTTTAGATCATGGGGCTGGCCATAACATTTATGTTAATATTTTGGCTAACAACATGAGGGTGGCAATTGGTGATTGGTGTTTGATCTCACATGGCAATGCCATGTGGCACTACCTAATAATTTTTCTTGACCGAGGATGACTACTACTAAAAATAAACAAATAATAAAGGAAATTACTTTCCTATTAGTCAAACGCATTCATCCATTTGCAAGACAGACTCATTGGCACATTCTGTCAAACACTTGCAAGACAACTAATGCACATACAACCATCAAGCCCATGAAACTGACGTGCATGAAACTACCATTGATACTTTTTATGTGAACAATTTGGGTAGCCAAATGAAGAATACAAACTTGTTGGAAGTAGAACATTTTTGGAAAAAAAAAGGTGATGTATAAAAATTAAACAATCATATTTGAACAATGAAAAAAGAAGAAGAAGAAGAAGAAGAAGAAGAAGAAGAAGAAGAAGAAGAAGAGAGTTTCTATTAACAATGGTAGCTATATAGATATCCCACCATTGTTAATCAGCCTAGTAATCATATATATTCAAATGTTTCCAATGCTATATGGATACACATTCAAAATTGGGTTACTCAAAACCTGTATACAGACACACACACACACACACACATATATATAATAAGCAATAAATATTTTTAGTTTGCTTAGTTTTATGCTTTTCTCTTGATTAAAGAACACAACTATTCATTTCATCAAGAATAGATTGAAACTATACAGAATTAGAAGGTGACAGATGCTCCAAGCAGGATTGCAGTGTTGCTACTGGTCATCAAAATGGCAGGGCATTAGTATTGGTAGTATTATATATAACAATCAAATTAGTTGCTAGATGGTAGGCCTGTTAAGTTGTAGTACTATAGGTAACAGGGCATTTAACACTATCACTATTCAACATCATACTCTAGATGACTCATTAAAATATATTAGGACATTACCACCATGGCCTGAGCTAATTCTTCAATGGAACATTCAGAAGTATGCCCTGCAAATTTAGGGGAGAAAAATCAAAATTGTATTTTGATGAAATAAATAGTAAGTATAACTATTGACAAAACAAATGGTCTATACAAAATACAAAGACACAAATTAAAGTAAGAAGGAAGATGATGAGTGAATGTGAAAATTAAATACTCAAGAAGTATGGAACATATACAATGTATATCAATTTTTACTGTCTCAAAGAATGTGAAGGGCCTACCTTGAGCCCTCAAAAGCTCAAATAATAGAAGAACAATAATTTGAACAAATCAGAGCTTTTTCGAGAGTCCAATCCCTAAAATTTGTTTTGTGATTCTACTTCCTTCAATAGAATAAAGAGTAAATGGTTTATGAATATATGTGTACACAGAGAGAGAGAGAGAAAGAGAGAGAGAGAGAGAGAGAGTAATTACCTGATAGAGCAAAGCTGAGTCAAATCTGTGAAAAGAGTGGGAGTTACTGATTTGGGTTGGTGGTGATATAGCCAATGTTGATCGAAGATAGAGAGAGCAGAGAGAAGTCAATTTCATTCAAACCCAAACCTTAGGATTTTCCCAGAACATAAGCGCTTGCAAATCTTAGGATTTTTGCCTTTCTTTTTGTGAGTTAGTTCCCAAGTGAAACTCTAGTGTTAGGATTCCAATGGCAAAGGCTCCTCGCTTCGTCTAACAAGAGACCCTTTGCTTTGCTACTGTGGTTCAATCGCCTTTTTTTATTTTTTATTTTAGAATGCCATTAAATTTTATTTGTGCTAGCAACCTTAAATTAATAAAATGTCACTCAATTTTATTTTAATTTTAAAAAATGCCACAAAATTTATTTCTACTGACAGCCTTAAATAAAATGCCACTCAAATAGTGGAATAGGCGTATGGTTAAGTGACATTTTTTTAAAAAAATTGTCATTAGATGTATTGTAATAGTATTGTTATAAAAAAAAAATGACACTGAAATGATGCCACTAAATAATGATTTTTTTTGTAGTGTTGTGGCACTTGTTTATTGAAATGCCGCTGGAACCTTTTATGTTTGTGGTTTTATGATATTTTTCAAAAACGTGCCACTAAATATTATTTTTATGATATTTTCTAAAAACATGTCACTAGTATAGTGCCACTAAAATGTGTTTTGTTGTAGTGATATATTTTAGATCTGATGATTAAGTTAATATAATTTTCATAACAATAAGGGGATCGTTTTAGTCCTTTTTTTTTTTTTTCTTCCTTTTTTTTTCCACGTAATTGGTTACTATTGAAATCTTTGAATATATTGGCCTAATAGTGTCATTCATTTTGTTAGAAACTCATATCACATTGTTTCTCTAAGGGGCATTTATTTATTTGAATTGAAAAATAAAATTTCCCTTAGTAGGTGAAAAAAAACTACGACACCAGCTGATCAGCAAAATAAAGGACGGCAAAAAACAAACACGATCCATAATGCCCAAAGCAGCCAATCCACAGTGTTGGTAAGAAATCAATACAGCAACCCAACAAATATGGAACAAAAGACAAGAAGAAAAGCAAAAGCCCATTCCCTCCCACCTCTGATGCAAAACAGAGACAAACAAAACATACCCTTAATCAAAGGATGCTTACGTGTAGGTCCTAATACGTAGATTTATCGTTTAATAGATCCTATAAGAAAATCTTTTGATAAAAAAAAGTCACTAATTGTAAATTTTAGCGACAATTTATAAAAATCATGACAAAAAAAGTCACTAATTGTCAATTTTTAGCGACATATATAAAAAATTGTCACAAAAAAATTAAAAAAGTCACTAATTGTCAATTTTTAGCGACATATATAAAAAATTGTCACAAAAAAATTATTTTAGCGACAATTTTACTAAGACTTACTTTCAATAAGACTTGATGAGAATTAATTCCAACTGCTAGGACCTATTTGTAGTTTACCCTTAATAGGAAACTGCTCCTTAACACTTCAACCTTCTAAACTTCAGGCGTCTAAAGATATTTATTCAGAAATCTCTTTTCATTTACTTATATTTTATTTAGTTTATATTATTTTTTTATATTCGAATAAATCTTATTACTGATATAGTTACCAAAATATCCATAATAATAATATTCTCATTAACAGTAGTGTGAATGTTCCGTGATGTGTATATTTATACTGTCAATGTGATTGTGAGCGTTCACATTGTAAAATATAATGTTCATGTCACCAAATTGCTAAACATTCAAGAAATATTTATAAGGGTAAAATTATTCATAAAATATCTTAAATATGAAAATTAGAATTTGGTGAATCAAATATCCAAATAATAAGACTTATTAAAATAGAAGAACATGTTATAGACTAATGGAATACAAATACTTGAAAAATAATTTCCTAATAAATTAATCTTATTTAGGTTCAATTTATGCAAACTAAAAACCCCTCTCTATTCATGACTAATTGGTTTGGGGTTCAATAAAATTTATGGTAAAATCTATTTTATCCCTAAATGATTTAACTCCAGATCATTTTACCTTGGATAATATGACCTTATGAAATTTTTGGTTTGGTTTTGAAAAAATTGTTTCAAATTTATTTTTTTTAAACTAAAAAATAATTTGGTGAAAGAAATAAAAAAATAAAAAAATAAAAAGTCAAAAAACACTTATCATTTTTATATAGTTTTATCTTTTAGAAGGTTAAAATTATTTTTAAAATTTTAAAATTAGTTTTTTGATATTTAGTTTTATCAAATTAATTTTCATTTTGTCAAAAAAATTCTGAATTTTTTTTTCCTAAAATAAAAAGCAAACATGGCTTATGTATTTGTATATTTAAAATAATAATAATAATTTGGTTTGTACGTGGGTTTCTGAATAATCGCATCAAATGAAATTTGTTTTGTTTTTGGTTTTTTTTTTTTAAATTCAAAAATCCATAGAAATGAGAAAGTTTGATAAACAACGGAAAACAATCATCTTGTTTGGTTCTAATTTTTTAAATTTAATTTTTTAAAAATGAAATTTTTAATTTTTTTTATTTTTATTTTTAATAATTTTTTTAAATATTTTAAACATATTTTTTGCTAGGATGCTAGAGTTTGATTCCATATCATAAAGATCTATACAAATCATCAGGCTTCTTAGAGAAAGCTGTATACAAAACCATTTGTGTAAAGAGGACATCACAACCCTCTAATCAGCTATGCAAATAGGCTATTATTTCTGAATATTTAATTCATCATGGAAAACTTATGGATAACTAAACCAAAAAAATAAAAATAAAAAGTATTTTTTTTTTTTGGACAAATAATAATTTACTTCTCATTTTCCAAAGGAAAGCATGTACAATGCACCCTAAGCTAAACCAGCCACCCAGGCCTTGTTTGGGAATTAAAATAGTGAAAAAGGCAATATAAAAAGTAAATTTATTCTTTTTACAATTTCTTTACATGTCTTTGATGGGTCGTTTTACATACCAAAAATAAACTCTAATTTGTATAAAATTCTTTAGAATAATGACAAGTCTAGGTATCGATTCATAGGGACAAACAAAAAATTAGACTAATTTAATTGTTAAGTTCCTAAATTAATTTTGATTAAAAAATGATTGGTTCATAGTCTAATGAGAACTAAATTAAACAAAGCGGATTAAACAATTAATTGAAACTAAGGATGAAGTACTGATTTTGGAAAAAATCTAGAGTAATGAATTCACCTCTAGTTACATAAATAAGGTTTCAATTTGAAAATCAATTATGTTACGGTTCGAACTAAATAATACTTCGCAACTACAAACTCGAAGCATTGATCAAGAAAATTATCACATTCAATGTACGGGCATGAACCATCTCAAGTAATACGAGTCGTTCTCTCTAAACTAGGGTAGCAACACGACTCGTCCCTTGTATTATGGCTCGTCTCATACCTTGAATATGAAATAATAGAAAATCACTGTATGAAAAGCATTCAACAATCACAGAAAGCAGAATACTTAAAGAGATAATGGAAAATATATATTTGAAACTTCTTAAACATCATACAATTTGTTCAAACCTTTACATAATCAAAAAGTAAAGAGAAAACCCTATTTACTCGGCTAGGGTTTCATCAAAACCTTAAAAAGAGGAGCCTAGCCACTCATGGAGAAGTAGGAAGAAGTAAAAGAAGAAGAATCCTCCATGGAAATTGCCTTTGAAGCTTCAAAATCCCTTCTTCCAAACCCTAACCTCTTCTTTCTCTTGGAATTTTTTGGAACCCGAATCCAATCCCTCAATTTTCCTGAAATCTTTTCCAACCCTAAGAACAACCTCTTTTCTTCCTTTCATTCATAGCAGAATAGACTGAAATTTTAGCACACAGAATCCTAGATGGGCTGCTCGAGCTCCCATGTGGACCGCTCGAGCGGTGGTGGGCCGCACGTGCAGTGAGGTGGCAGGTCGGGAATTTTCACTATTCTAACGAAGAATCTGCTTTTGTGCTCCTTTTTGCTTGAATTTGCGTGTTGCTTGTCAAATCTGTACAAGTGCACAAAACACATCATCTCCACTAAATAAACAAAATTCAAAGACTATAAATGTAACTTAGGCGGCCTCAATGTGGTACATTTCAGCCTACATCAATCTCTTTTTATAACAAGTAAAAAAAATATTTAAAAAAAAATAAAAGAAAATTTCAAAAAAGTAGAGAGAGAAACTTTTTTTTTTTTAAAATGAAAATGCAAGATTTATTTATATAACTGAATATATAAATTATTTGTACTTTCATCATTTTATAATTATTTTTTTCACTCTCCACGATATTCTCTATTGAAAAGAAAATCATCTCATCATACTGCTTCATCCGGTGGCAACCTCGCATCTCTATTTTCAGCCGAAAGTGTTACATTGGTGCGGCATATCGGACAATTTGAGTGAGAGTAGAGCCACATATCGATGCAGGGTACGTGAAACGGGTGCAAGCATTTAGGCAGGACCCGAACCGATTCACCTTCAAGGAACTCAGACAAGCAGATAGTACAACTTTTGTCATGGGTTTTAGAAACCAAGCCAATAATGTCTTTGGTGTAATTGTATGAAGGAAGAACAATGAGTTGTGTTTCTGAAACCATGCGAATGGAAGAAGGCGAAGTCATTGTCTCTATCGTCCTCGATGATGCTGATGGAGGAGGTCGCGACCGGGGAGGAGTGTTGTGCCACTTGCACCATCGTGCCAGCAGTGCGTAGCAGATTACTAGGATGAAGGTGGCGGCGCCGATCAAGCCGAGGATTCCGCTCACCAAGGCTACTGAGAGAAGAAATATATCGAGAAAATTTTTAGCCATTATTATGGATGTGGAGGGTGGAGAATTGGAGGAAGAAGGTTGTTGGTTAATTATAATAATGTCACTCCTCAAATATATCGATTGTCTATAATATAATTCATTTTCCTTAATTAAAATGTACAATGCATACAAGTCAAGTCACAACAAGACAAATGGCCCTAGCGGCATCGATCTTAGGCTATTTTTTTAGAATTTATGTATATATATCATCTACACAAAAAAGTTAAATCAAATTGATAATTTTAACTTAAGACAAATTAAGTCGTTGGTCTATGCACATTAGTTTTTATGTTATTTTAATTCTTATAATTTTAATTATGAATTTATAAGTTTATCTCAATTCAGTCCAATTAAATATTAATGTTTCCGTCTTTTATATAAAAAAAACGTACATAAGTAGCATGTGTCATGTTTTTAAGGTAAAATTAAAAATTCGTTTAACGAACTTAATGATCATTTTCAGTTAAAAATCTTAATAATGTTATCAATTAGATTAAGTTTACACAAAATTTAAAATTAAAAGTTAAAATAGAGTCAATTAAAAGTGTAGGAACCAAAACAAACAAGGGCAAAAATGTAGGAATTACTTGTGTAATTTATCCTTTAACTTATTCAATTATCACTGTTGTATCTCTATAATGGGTAAATTACATTTTACACCCCTTCACTCTGCACCAAATCACATTCTGGTTTCTACACACAAAATCATAATAGTCAACACCCCATACTTTTAGTCAAATCTCACTTTGATCCCTGTAAATGAAATTGTGACGGTCAACCCTCTGTAGTTTTAGCCAAATCTCACTTTGTTTCCTATACAAGTGTCGATGTCCCACTTTGATTCATATGCCATATGCCCTAGGAGGTGACAATGGTATTGCAATGGATAAGTGTTGCGGTAGTTATGCATCGTGACAGTGAAGGGCTATGACAGCGGTGAGGCAACGACGGTGGCTCTGCGATGGTAGTGGAGTAGCAGCAGTAGGGGCTCTAAAGATAGAGAGGCAAGTGGTGATTAAAGGAGCTTGGTAGGGGCATTGGAGAAGGCGGGGAGTGTTGAAACAAGGGTTAGGGTTAGACTTTGTTGGAGGAGATGAAGGTAATATGATACTATATAAAAATTGGTCGTGTGTATTAAAACAAAATAAACATATTCAATTTGTATATGGTATAAACTGAGTAGATGGTGTTTATTGAAACAAATGATAGTGTAAATAATAAATAAAAAAAATTTAAAAATATAACTGAAATGGGACTCATTAATGTGCCCTGTAGGTTTCGTGGTAGAATCATATCATATATATATATATAGTGTTTTCCCTTTGCTTTGGTATTACATTTTAAAGATTTTATTTTTTTTATTTTTTTATTTTTTTGTAAAAAAGTCACGTTGGTATATCTTTTCTATTTACATATAAAGATCTACATAAATTCAATTTCAATTATGATAATCAATTTTATATTGATTCTATTTGAGAGATACTTATTTTCTATATATTTTTCATCGTGTATCTAGTTTTGTCGTTGTTAGATTTCTTTTATATAGTTGATATTTTAATTTTATTATCATGATATTTGAAAAAAAATTGTGTCTCGATATACAAATAAATAAATAAGATAGAATGTGTTTAATTATGTGTATCGCACAAATCAAAATAATTTTCTTTTATATTTTATAATTTTTTTATCTATCTTATTAATGTCTTAATATTAATTTATATTTAATTTTTATTTAATATGAAATTATGTATTACAAAATATTTATATTTAATTTAAATTTTATATACCTATATACAATATGTATGAATAATTCAAAAAGAATATTAAAGAAAAAATCAATACACTACAAAATTAATTTATGTATTTTCTTCTTAATCCAATCACAACATATTTATATTTAATATTTTAAATAAATTGTGTAATTCTATTTTTACATATTTTATTTTCCAAATAAATATAAATATAAAAATAAAAATTAAATTAAATAATTAGAATCACTTTTAATTTTATTTTACTAATTCTCTTTTTAATTTAACTATTATTTTTAATATCAAAATGAGTGTTTATTTTACTATCTTATAATTTAATATATATTATATAAAATCATTATATGATAATTACTTTTTTAGAGCACAATAGAACTAAAATTATCAAAACAAACAAAAAATGACGAATTACACCAAGGCTCCGTTTGTTTTCAGAGGTAGAATGAAATGAATTAATAGTGAGGGGATTGTTAGTGAGAGAATTGATTGTGAGAGAATTAAATAAAATTATGTTTATTTTGATGATAGTTATTAGTATGAGAATTGTTAAATTATTACCCTATAAAAAAAATATAAAATATTAAAACAAATAAAACTATGACTTTTACTTAAGAAAAAATACAAAAACATTAAACATTAATGTTTAAAAAAATGCCCAACATGTTAAAAAAAAAAAACCTTATCCCATGGGACTAATTTTTAAATATCACCTCTACCTCCTCTATCTCAATCCCAACACAAAGGCTCATCCTAATCCCATGGGATTATGAATCCTCTCTCCCTCTCAAAACAAACACAGCATATAGCGGGTCCCACATCCATGTCAATCCCAATCGTACGTCTATCCCCTAAAATAAACGGGCTCTATAATTTGGAGCTCGTGTCATTTAAGTCCCTAACTTTTCAATTGTAACACGTTTGACCACTACAACAAATTTGGGATTTAAAGGTGAAACAAATTTGTCCCAAAATGTACACATTTCGTCACCAAAACTAATTACGACGAAAAGTTTGTCACCCATTTCGTCGCCAAAGCGTCGTCGCTAAAAAGTCTTAGAGACGAAAAAATAAATTCTTCATTGAAAAAGATAAATTTGTGACAATTTTTTGTCTCCAATACACTTTGTTAGGAATATACTTATAAGTAATTAGCGACAAAATATTTTGTCATTAAAAGAAGAAATTAGAGGCAAATATTTTGTCATAAATATAAGTAGAGATAAAATAATTTTGTGGTGAATAATATAAACGACGACAAAAAAAATTATCAAAGAAGCTACCAATAGTGACAAAAACAAATTCATCATTAAAAATAATGAAATAATGTCAAAAAATTTTCATCACACATTGAGGGTAATAGTGACAAAATGTGACTATTTTTCGTCATGATAAATTCATTTAGCGACGAAATAAAAAATTCATGACAAAATTATTCATCCAACGAAGCCAAATAAGGGACAAAAACCTTCTTTAGGGATGAAAAATTGTCACTAATTTCATAATATTTTTTTCCATATTATATACCTAATTTATCAAAATCTGAATTTTAGTTCAACAAATATAACCTTGTTCACGTTGAAACCTATTTAAGATAACAATTCCATCACAACTTAACTTAACCTGCTATAAATCAATACATTTATGAATTAACAAAATGAAAATATCCATTCATCATTACAAATAATTTCATCCTAATACAATAAAATAGTACAATATCCACAAAATATCCAACAGTTATTACTAGTGCAATTTCACCAAACATCCAACAATAACTAATGCAACACCACAAAGTATGTATCCTTATCAAACAAAAATAAACATTCAAGCAAATTAGATCATTGTTGCACGTCAAAAATGTCACCCCAATCCAATATGCAAAAAAATAAATTAAAAACTTTAGTAACTAATCAATTATACAAAAGATTAAAAACATTAGTAACTAATCAATTTACAATTAAATCAATTATACAATTTATCCCTCTAACAGACTTTTTTCGAGATTATGAGGACAAAAATTAATTTTAAGGCTAATCCACAAATGGTGCATCCCATTAATGTGCCGTAAATTCATACAACTTATATTGGTCATTCCTAAGGTGTTTCTATTGGTTCCTATACAAATATGTGGTTGTGTGATAATTTATTTTTTCGACGGCTTTTTTTGAAGCTTTAAGTATGGAGAAAAAATTATTTTTTAGACTAATTCACAATTTATACATCCCGTGCACCTGTACAAATTGGGTGTCCTATGCATGTTTCCATTACTTCCTAATTCTTCAAACATATATTCTTTTATAAAATTTGTTATATTAAAGTTAATATGCTTTACTAAGAAGTATGTCCCCTTGTGGATGAGTGGTCCCTCCCAAGGTGTTTCAGTTGGTTCCTGTACAAATTTGTAATTGTGTGATAATTTAGCCTTTGCCTTTTTTGAAGCTTTAAGTTTGGAGAAAAAAAGTATTCTGTAGGCTAATTCACAATTTATACATCCCGTGCACGTGTCATAAGTTTCTACAACTTATATTGTTCCCTCCCATTGTGTTTGTATCGGTTTCTGGGCACATATACAGTTGTTTAACAATTTAGCAATCCAAGCGGGCTTTTTTAATCATAAGTAAAAAAAAAACAATGCATCCCATGTATGTGTCACAAGTTTTAGTAACATTGGTCCTTCCCGAGGTGTTTTAGCCAAATCATGAGAACTTTCGTGGTTTGACGATTTGCCCTCCGATGGCCTTCTTTCAAGCCTAATTATTTAAAAACTGACTTTCTAATCTAATTCACAAACATTGCATCCCGTGTATGTTGTGTAAGTTTCTACAACTTATTGGTCACTTTTATGGTGTTTGTGTTGATTTTGATGCTCATTCGTGACTATTTGAAAATTTTGCCCTTCGTTGGCCAATTTTCAAGCCTCAATATAGAAAAGCATTTTTTAGGCTAACTCACAAATGGTGAGTCATGTGCATGTGCCATAAGTTCTTACAAGTTAAATTGTTCCCTCCTAAGGTTTTTGTGTCAGTTCTCATGCACATTCATCGTTGTTGGATAATATACTCCAATAGACTTTTTCCAAGAATATGGGAAAAAAGTGTTTTTTAGGCAAATTCACAAATGGTACATCCCATTCATGTGCCGTAACTTCTTACAAGTTATATTAGTCCCTTCCAATGTGTTTGTGTTGATTCCATTCAACGGCCCTTTTTGAAGCTTAAGTTTGGAGAAAAACACATTCTTTTGGCTAATTTACAAGTAATGCATCATGTGCATGTACCATATGTTTCTACAACTTATATTAGTCCATCCTGAAGTATTCAACAATGATCTCACTCTCTTTGCTGGAATAACCTTACAATCTCTTTAAGACTGATCCAGATAATATAACCATGTAATTAATAACTACCTCACTATCTTAGTTGGAACTACCTCCCTCTCTCTTTAAAAGATAAAATCCCAATCAACCATTAAAACATGGTGTCAATACTCTGCCTACCTACATATTACAATGGTGTCTTTCTTAAGGTTCCAATATCATAGTAATTTTGCTTGGCAGATGTACTCTGTCTGTAATGTGCCTTGACTTTATCATAGCATTAAAAAGAATCTACTATTTTGGGAAACTCTAGTTGAACTGTCAAATTGAGCAAAATAGGTGAGAACAAAGGGCTCTTATTCCTTGTTACCAAACAGAGATTCGTAACTCTCCTCTGGTTTGCCTGGTTCATAGGCTTAGGGGGTGGTCTTTGCCTACGCTGAGTTCTAGGTCATCATAAAAGTAAAAATAAAAACTCAAGTATTCCAAAAGAAGCTATTGAAAAAAAACAGTACCAAAACATACCAATTTTAATGAATGGAAAACTAGGGAAATTACACATTGGACCCTTAAACTTCCATCCAAATTCAGTTTGGTTCCTTATGTTTAAATTGCAACAATCTTAACATTTTTTACCACTAGTGCTGGTGACTTGATTCAAGAATGTGCTTGATTTTCCCTAAATTTAAAGGGAAATTAAATGCACACAAAGAGAAAACTAATCTTTATTTATTTTTTATTTTTTTTTTGGATGTTTTGGATTCCCTGTTAGCAAAAAAATACTAATCAAATTCTAATCCAAACAACCTAATTATATATTAGCAAAAGAACCTCAGAAAAAATTATAATCCAAACAACCTGATCATATATCAGCAAAATAACCTCAAAAAAAATTCTAATCCACTAGTGGAGTACTACAGATGTTAAAAGTGAAGCCAAGTGGTACATTGGACTAGATTGGCTTCTGTAAATGGTGTAGAAAAAACAATGTCAGTCAGAAATGAAGCACATTTTATTGCTTCAATGGGAACTACAAGTTTGTAGCTTCACACATAGGAAACACTAGAATCTAACCTTCGTACGCTAGAAGATATTACAAAAAGGTTAAATGAGATGCTTCAAGAAGCAAGCTGCCTAGTCTATAAAGAAAGCAAAACTCTCACAACCCAAGAGAATAGGTATAAAGGAATTATCGTTACATCTCATGGGGTTAGCAGATCCCCTTCGCCAATGAAATTGATGAAAAGCATCTCCAAAGCATGACTAGCTATGCGTATTTAAAATTAAATTTTCTTTTAAAAAATGACAGAATAGTACAGCTTACCACATGCTTCTTTTTTTGAGGATCATAAGACTTCACCACTCCATAAAATCTGTTGATTTCAACAAGAAACACCATCAAGGCAGTAGCACATTTGTACAAGGTTATTTGAAGTCCAACAACATATAAGGAAAGTAGGCAATCATGGATTTCCGTTAAGTTCTCTTCATATGGTAGTTGTTTCTCCTTCAGTTGTCAAAATTTGAAAGAGAAAGGAAGTGAATCAATCTCAACAGTATCACAAAGACAAAAAAACAAAGGAGTCCAATGTTGGACTTCATACAGAATAACGTACGTACATGGGTATATATATACGAGAGAAAAAATAACAACAAAAATAATCTAACTTGGATGTAAGCTACAAAATTTAGCTTCATGACAAACAACTTTCTCCTCTGTAAAAATATAAACAACAATGCAATGAATAAGCAAACTGGCCCCTTTAAGCATTAGTTTTCTATTAATTCATTTTTCTTTCCTATTCATATCAAGAAACAAAAACTAATGGCTATATTACATTTTTTATTTTATTTTAATTATCTGAGGGAAACAAAACCGAAGAAAAACATGAATTAATTATTGGGTTAAAAGAATAGAGGAAAGTGATGATCAAATTGCCATGAGCATGGGCAGCCACTTGAACCTTTGTACTCAATCCACTTATATTGATGCACAATGATAGTTAGAAACCTGCATTTATTTTCATTTTGCATTGATTTGGATATCCTAGCCCCATCAAAGATGTAAGGACTTAAATCTACGGTTGAAATCTTATATTACAATGTACTGTAAATGTGATTGTAAACTACTATTGACTCTAATCTCCATTGTCAATTTATGCAATTTAGTTGAAATTGAACTCTTAAGCTTAGAATTTAATTTTCTTTCCCTCTTTAGGAGAACAATTAAACTCTAGTTAGCCATGTGATTATCTGAGATGGGACTCCAAGCATATGATCTAGTTAGCCATGCCATTTTGTTGGAATGGTACCTCAAGGTGGAACTTGTAGAGCTCTTGTACAAAGTCAACAAAATCATAAGGATATGTAACGCAAAAGCTTTTAAAAAAATGAGAAATAAACAAAAACCTTCAATGACCACAAGCCAAGACATAGAAGGTAACTTAAATTTAGTACAGTAACAATGATGAACACAAGCAAATTAATAAAAAAAAAAAATTTAAAAAAATCACCTGGCTTGAAACAGAGTGATGATAGGATTATCCCCGACATTCATGACAAATGACACATCTCACCGCATATAGAACCAGCAAATACACCCATCCTGATTTTCCATTAAATAATAAAAAAGTATCAAAATTACTTCATCCTAGAAAAACCTAATTTTATTCAAAACCCTCAAACTTCAAAGACACTAAGACTGACTATTTACTTATTCTTTTTATTTATTTATTTTTTTGGTTCCCTTTTTCTTTGAAAGGTAGGGATGGCAATGGGGGTAAATGGGAGAAACAAATTGAGCAATCAAGTGACCGTATATCTATGAATACTGATACAAATATGTGTGAAAAAAGATTGAATGTATATTTAGTTTTGGTTGTGAATCTTAAAAATATAAAAAAAAATGGTTGTGAACCTTAAAAAAATAAAAATAATAATAATAAAAAAAGATTGGATGTATATTTAGTTTTGGTTGTGGATCTTAATAAAAAAAAATAAAAAAAAAAAGAAAAAAAAGAAGCAACATATGGGGAAATTAGTGGGTACCCATCCCCAACCCGTCCCCTGTGGATATTTAAAGAATATTACATACCCTACCCATGGATAAGAAAAAAAGGAGAAAATCCATGTATTTGGGTTGGTTCTCCATGGATACCCACAGGGTAGGTTATCCATTGCCATCCCTAGGTAGTGGCAAAGAATAACATCAATCTAAATGGGAGAAACAAATTGAGCAATCAAGTGACCGTATATCTATGAATACTGATACAAATATGTGTGTATATATTTATAGAGAGAGAGAGATAGAGGGGGGTACCTCGCCGGAAGTGGCGACGAGGCCAGGGCGGTCACGGGCGGCGATACAGGTGGTGGCGGTAGCCTTGTGTCCTCTCAGTCGTCTTGGCTCCGTCATTGATTCGTCTCTCTCTCTCTCTCTCTCTGTGATCCGATTTCTAGTACTTGGCCATGGGTTGTGTTGTTCAAGGACAAACTAGTACATGGCCCTGAAATTGGTTAAATCCATTTTTCAATTGGGAACAAAATAATTCTTGTCACCAATGACCAATTTTAGGCGCGCTCAATTTCGTATGCGGTCAAAATATTTGACTTTTTTGGAAAAATTTTTAACTTGTAATTAATTTTTTTTAACCAATTTTAGGCGCGCTCAATTTCGTATGCGGTCAAAATATTTGACTTTTTTGGAAAACTTTTTTAATTTGTAATTAATTTTTTTAAAAAAATATACCTAATCTAGTTATACTTAAAAATTAAAATATTTGTGAAAAAATCTAAAAGTAATTCAATAAAAAAATAAAAATGTATTAAATTTTTCTATTTTTTTTGTGGTGAATTTTTGAAAGTGTTTTCATAAATTTTTGTACTTTTTAATTTTATCTTAATTAAAGGGATATAAAAAGTAAATAAATATATTTATTAAAATATTAAAAATAGGTTCACTAAAAAAATACAAATTAAGATTTATTCTTTAAAACTTCAAAATAAACAGGGTGATGCTTTCTTAATTTTGAAAATTGGCAACAAATTCTTATTTTTTTCATCTGTATTTTTGCTCACAAAAAAATAGCTACATTGATCATTTTTTTCCTTATTTAATTATTATTATTATTATTTTCTTTTTTTTTTTTTTGGGTGGAGAAGGGTTTTGGCCTTCGATTTTCTGAAATGAGTGTTCTAGAGGAAAGGTGAAGAGCTGGTTCAAAGAAGAAGAAAAAGTGCTTAGCGCACAAAAGGGGGGCTTCACTCTGAGAAAGAACAGTAGCTTTGCATAAAGTGTCTTCTTTGATAACAATGCTTGCATGCACAAAAGGCTTAAGTGTGAAAGAGAACGGAGGAGCTTCAGAAAAGATGGTTTTTTATAGAGTTGTCTTCTCGAGTCACAGTTTCAAATTCATTACTTGTGAGAGAGGAGACTCAAGTGTGAGAGAGAAATAAAGGTTTGTAGAGGGTGTCTTTTTGGGTCACGACTTCAGTATTTGTGTGCATGAAAGTGAGTGATTAAGGTGGGAGTGTCTTTTGGAGTCATAGTTTCAATGCTCTGACGACATTTTAATAAATAAATAATTTAAAATATTTTCGTCTCCTCAAACTCATATGTTCATTGCCTAATCAATAAAAATACAAAAACAATCAGCGTGTTTGGTTGCAATTTTTTGGAAATTGAGTTTTTTTGTTTTTTGTGTTTTAGTGAATATTTTTAAAATTTTAAACAATTTTTTTTACTTTTTTAGATACACCTTATTTAGATGTATCTAAAAAGTAAAATATTTGTAAAAACAAAATTTTAAAAAATCAATAAATACACAACAATACAAAAAAATGTATTGAATTTTTGTATTTTTTTAATATTTTTAGTATTTAGTGATTTTTTATTTTAAAAAAATCACAAATATTATATTTTTAAAATTTATTTAAGTTAGGTGTATCTAAAAATTTAAAAAAAAATTACTTAAAATATTAAAAAAATTTGGTAAAAACAAAAAAAAAAACGAAAAACAAAAATTTCAATTTTCTGAAAAGTGAATACTGAGTTTCAAAACCAAACAAGCTGATGTCATTTAGGGATGGAGAATTTATTGGTGATGAAATATTTTCGTCTCCCTCAACTTAACCTTATGAGACGAAAATATATTCATCACGCAATCAATCAAAATACAAAATGATACCTGGAAAATTTATTAGTGACGAAATATTTTTGTCTCCTAAAACATATCCTTCCGAGGCAAAAATATATTTGTTGCCCAATTCATAGAAAGATAAAACGATGGTGCCTAACTCATGGAGAGTTTATTGGTGACAAAATATTTTCATCTCTCATAACTTATCCTTCACAGACAAAAAATATTTGTCACCAAATAAATAATAAGATAAAACGACGTTGTCTAATAGGTAGGGAATTTATTGGTGACGAATTCCTTTTGTTGCAAAAAATTTTATATTTTGTGACAAAAATATTCGTCTCTAATGAGCTAAAATAATTGGCACCACCAAGGAAAAAATTGGCACCTCATTTTTTCTGACGAATTTATTTTTTCGTCTCCTATAATTTTGAGAAAAATTAAAACAAACGACAAAAGTAATATTTCGTCATGTTTGGGTAACATTTTAAGACGAAAATAAATTTTATCACCAAATTTTGTCACAATAGCCTAGATTTGTTTTGACCAAACACATAATAAAAATTAATTTGGTAAAATAAATAAATATGTAAAAGATTTATCAATTTTACATAATTTTATCTTTAGTAGGTAGAAATAATTTTTAAAAATTAAAAAATATCTTTTTGATATTTATTTTTGTCAAATTAGTTTATATTTTCTCAAATTGACGATTTTTCCCTTAAAATTGAGTAATGGTATCTCCAATTGTCCTTATTTGAAACAAGATTCAAAATTCAAGGTCAAATGTGTTACAATTGAAAAATCAATGACCAAAATGACATAACTCCCAAACTATAGGGACCATTGATATAATTCGCCCAACAAAAAATTTAACTAAATTTATAATATATAAATATTCAAATAATTCTTTTATAGAACGATAAGTTTAAGATTATTAAAATAAGTAATTTAAATTAAAAAAATATTTTAAATTAAAATTAATATTATTCTTTTGTAACACATCATAATATAAAATATTATTATAGTAATTAAAGTTAACACATTTGTGATTTTATGTCAGACATCATATTTCTAGAAGTGATTTGCATATACGTGTAGTGTTCAATTTGTTATTGATTAATTAAAATAATGGAAATCAATACTTTTTTTGTTAAGTTTTTAAAAAATAAATTGACAAATGTCAATGATAATTACTACAGGAAAAATAGGTTTATACGGCGTTTTGTTAACGGCGTTTTTTAAACGTCATTTTTATTAATATTTAACAACGTTTTATAAAAACATCGCATATTTCATTAATAAAACGACACCGTTTGGAATCGGAGGCGTTTGACAATGCCTCCAAATACGTTGTCCCGCACACGCTATTTTGAATATGAGAATACTTGTTACTTTGGAAACCCTTATTTTGAATCTCACGCCGTCACAATTCTCACGCCTCTCTCTTGCTCACCATCAAAACACTGGTAGTCTAATATAAGATGTTGTACATATATTTGCTGGTAGTCTACTAGGAACTCTGGACTTATAAAACTATAACTTACCATGTCCATCAAAATTTGAATTTGCACACTAATTGGGAGTTTAATTGTTATTTTCTTTAGCTGAACTTTTGTTGCTTATTTCCTGTGCCTTTGTTCCTTGGTGTTCCATTTGTCAAATAGAATTTTTTTTTTAACTTCTATCCTGTGATTATTTTCCATCTTATCTTTTTGGTCTCTTCCGAACAAACCTGCTCTTTCATCACCCATGATTGGATGTATACTTCTTTCTGTTGGATAGGGTGAATTCCATGGTGAAGCGATGCATACTCTGAAGTTTGTTGTGAACCAGTCAGACTACATTGTGCAGACACTAAGAAATGTCACAGAGTATCTATTACTTGCGAAAACCATTAATATGGTCCAGGTTTTTCTTCCTTCAAATGACAAAGATGAAATCGACAAGTTGAATGCTGATTTAAGTATTGCAGCAGATACACTGAGCCAGAAAACAAGTGAAAGTTTTGAAAAAAATACAGAGAGTCTTCAATACAGTCTATGAGTTCACAACCTTGGTATTATCATCAAATTTAGATTTTGTATTGACCTCACAATGTTGACTGGTAAAAAACCTTAATTGCAGGCGATCAGCACTGATCACTATTGCTGTGTTAATGCTTCTTCTATCTCTTATTAGTCTTGGTACGTATCATTGGTGAGAGGGGAGATTTGCACCTGATTGTACGGCTGAGATAACGTCAGACGTGACGGACCGTGTAGCGCTGAGCTAATCTCTGTTGACATGGCCAGCGGCCTGCCTTGCACGGTCGGAAATGTTGACCGGTCAGGCACCAACTGGCATAGCCGAGCTGTGTCTTGAACGTGTTGGACGGAGCTTGGGTTAGCGGATGCTGACCGGGATAAAAGGTAGCCCGAGCTAGTCCGTGGGCGCGATCAAGGCCGGTACACCTTGGATCGGTCAGTCGATATAAAGTGGCTTCGTGTGACCAGGATTGAAGGTAGACCGGTGAGAGGCCGGCATGCCTCGCAACCGGATGGTCATGATGAACCGACCAATGATAGTTTGGCCGAGGTGGGCAGGCTTTCGCCTGATTCCAAGTTATAGGTCGGCGACACATAGCTCGGTTATGAGCATGTAATAGCGACTCTCCACAAGTGACAGGCCGGTCGTAGTACTCCGGTTAAGTATGCCACCTGGGCCAATGGCATGAAGGAGAGGACATCCGCTCCACGCACGCCTCAATACCGTTGAGCAGTTCTGTGTGTACTGGAGGGAGGACTGAGCCTTTACACGCGTAAGGTGGTGAGAGGCGAGCACTGCCACCTGTCCAGGGAAGGACAGCAGAGATAGTGCGCGCACAATCTTGAGGCTGCATGGCCAGCCTAGAAATAAGGAGGAAGAGGGACGTTGGGGGTAAGCGAATTCATCCTATCAAAAACTCTCTCTCTCTGATAGCCTACTCCTTTAGCTTGTGGTCTGACTTGATCGTCGGAGGGTCTTTCCGGCACACCACTGCCGGGCAGCTCACCATTTTTGTGTTGCAGAGATAGACGCCATCACAAGAAGCTTGACGACCAAGGAGTACGGAGAACAGAGGATATTTCGTCCCCGTACAATTGGAAATTCACATTGACGATTTCTTGCATGTGGCTCTTCTTCATTGTTATCCACTTATAAATTTTATTTTTGTTGCAGTGCTATCCATCCTTGGGCACAAACATGCAATTCACGTGTAAGATTTCTCTGTATTTAGTACATTCCCCTTCCACTTCTAATGAGTAAACAATGTTTCAGTTACAGAATATTTTCCAATAGTTGTTCTGATTCATCCTTCAAATTGATGCAGA